GCTGAATGATAATGTTAAAAAATGGTTTCTTAAGTTTTTTCCTTGTTTTAAGGGCTACTTTAAATTGCTTCAATTTAAACCATACAGTGTTGTCTTGGGATTTCTCCATTAATTCCCATGAAGTATATGTTTATTAGAATACAAGTTTTCCTCTAAATTTTAGAAGTCTTAGTTGAAGGCCCTACATTTTAGTGAGATGTAGTTCTCATTTGGGCTATTAATAACTCTGACTGTCTTTTTTTAGTGAATATGATGAATACAATATTGAAAAAATAAAATAGTTTATTATTAGATGTGAGAGCTGGTAGAGATAGTCAATCTCCTGTGAACTAGGCCTGGGGACTGCCTGAAATGCAATCTGTATCTGGCCAAACTCATGTCACCAGGCTACCCAACACTCCTCAAGCAAAGCTGTCAGAAAATAAGGAATTATTTTATTCTCTTGGTAATGGTCATTAAAAACTTGTGTTTCATTTTGAATCTGAATGTCTGGCTTTAGATTCCTGCTATTAGTTCTTTCCTTGTGCCTGCTCCTGCTACAGCACTGATGAGCTGACCAAAGTGAACCCTTTCCTTTTCTCTGCCCTATTTTTAAACTGTGTGCCAAATTCCAGTACAAGTTTTATCAGTGCCATGCACTGAGATTAAAAACTTCTTCATTACTTCTTTATTTCATGTCCAGGAATTACCTCTGCCCTTTTGCTGCAGTCATATACTTAGATACCTGCTAGGTTTTGAATATCTATTTTGTTACATTGCCTATGAGGTAGCACTTTTGTATTCCTTATAATATTTCCACTTTTCATTTTCAGATGACAGCTGTTTATATAAAGTTTTTGCTGGATGCCCCATTCTTGTCACTGTTTATCACACTGACAGTGCCATATCATTTCAAGTTTGATTAGCATTGATTTTATAAGTACTTTACAGGCCATTTAGGAAACCCAAAAGGCCCTAAAGGAAACATCAGTTTTCAAAGACAACTCTCACCAATAACTACTCTGAACTGCTCATCCAGTTCTTGATGCAATGAATTTGTCTTTCATTGCATCAAAAAATAATTTTTTTCCCATTGTTAGCATGTGGGTACTAAGTCAAGCTGCTGAAAAAATTAGTACAGCTATGGCCTTACCTTTGAACAGCCAAAGACTGTAATGTCATCTTAGGTTTCTCTGATGAGACCTATTTTTCCATTAGATTTTGTTGTCTGGCACACATAACATTTGAATGCTTCATTTAATTATTAGTCTTTCTTTTGTGTCATTACTTTTCTTTGTGTCAACATCTGCTCCTCCCCCCAGCTGAAGGTGTGACTGCCATGGTGAAGATGGGTGTACCAGGGCTTTTGTGTGTGCAGAAGGCTGTGCAAGCCTGCATGCAACAGGCAATTACCATTGCGCAGGTCTGTGGACAGGCTGTTGCTGTTACACAGATGAGGATTTGGATGAAGATGTACAGGTGATTAAGTAAGCCTTCCATGATGCCAAACAGGCCCGTTTTGCTCACGGCAGCTCATTTCTATCCTCTCCTCACTGCTTAGCTGAAGCTCAGTAACACTGAAACTGGTAGGTTTTAGGATGTCCCTGAGGAACCCTTTTGGCACCCACGCTTCCTTTCTGTGTTTCCATTCCTTTATAGAAGCTCTTGAAAAATCTGCTGGCTTATCAGCCACTAAGTGAAAAATTTCCCTTTACTATTACTGCTGTGGCCCACAGTCAGCACACTGCAAGATCTCGTTTGCACTTCTCTCCCACCCTGAGCTGAGTCTAAGGAAGCCTGAAGTGCCACTGATGTCCCCATCTCCTGCTGTACCACAGAGCAGTAAGTTATTCTGGTGCAAAGTTCCATTCTCTATATATCCCACGAAGTGATACAGCCCTGTGGGTTTGTTCTTGAACCTGCCTGCTTCTGTGTTTGAAAACACTGGCATGACTGTTTAATAAAGGTTTGCCAATGACTGGAATTATTCTAGGTAGTCTATGAGTCCCATTTTTACTTTTTAAATTTTAACTAGTTCTGCCTTCCTCTGGAATTTCCCTGGTCTGCTAATATGTGTTTAAAATTATAATTTCTGTGTCCTTTTTTTTTTTTCTTGGTCTTTTTTTTAAATGTTTTCATTATTAATACTGTTATAGCATACATCTATTAGAGACTCCTGCAGAAGGGAAGTTTTGTCTTTTGTAACTCTGACACTTTAAAACTATTACCTTTATAAGCCATTGGTTTACCCTCTCTTAGAGGGTTAGGGCCTCTCATTAGGAGATGGAACATTGCCTTTGCTCCTGAAAGTAGAAACACCAATAGCAAGGGGTCAATTAATGGTAGAGCAGCATGCTTACTGTTCTCAGCATACGTCCAGGATGCTGCTTCTCAGGAAGGGGATCTGCCTCAATTGCATGGGGATGGTATTCAGCATTGCTGTGGGTGTAGGAAAACCATAATGCAAAGTGGCAAAGAATTCAGAACTGCTTATCCTGGGGGGAAATGACATTTGCAGATAATTCCGCTTCAAGACGGAGAACTGAACTTTTAGAAAATAGGACTCTTTTTCTTTACCAAAAAAAACCCCAAAAAAAACATTGCTCTTTGCTGGTATTGTTTCTTAGGTAGAAATCATATTTTATGTTTTACTTATTTCTATAAATCAGAAAAAAATTTCATGCTGCTCAAAGTCTCCAAGGACATTATTGAACCTGTCAAGTACATCCCTGTGGGTACATGGAGTCTCTCAGCAGTGAGTGAGTGAGAAAAACACATTCAGAAGAATTCCTCCAGGTCAAGATTCTTTACAAATTATTTTCTTTTTCCTTTCCTTTTCCACATGCTTTGCTTTCACCTTTATTCTTTGTCTTCTGAATCTGAATCTTTCTTTTTGACAATATTATTAAGTTCATTTTAAGTGGGTTTTTGTTGTTGTTATTGGGTTGGGGTTTTTCCCCCTTTCTGATTTCTTGCTTTTTTGGACATCTTGTACTCTTATGGACATTGCTCTTATACAACCGTACATTATTTGGCTGAGATTTTGTAATATGATTCTTTTCCAAGGAAATCAAATAAATTCAGAACATTTTTCTGCAAGTATATCAAATTATGCTCAGAAATATTCTCCAAAGGAAAAAATGGGAAAAAAGACTGACATTATCTGCAAATCAACTCCTACCCTTGTAATATTCAATACATAATGGTCCCAGAAATGAGTTGTGTGTTGGGAGCTTGGGAGGGGCTGTTTATGCTGTTATAGGTTTGACCAACTTAAGTATCTCCACTGACAGCTACTGCATACACTTAAGTTCACAGCAGAATTAACACATTTAATATTTTTGTAAGGAGATCTAATAATGCAAGCTGAAAGAAGAACATTATTTTCACTTTTAGAGATGACACCACCTGTGAAATAAAACACTTGAATAGTCTTACAAGAAACTTTCAAAGGTCATGGCAATGGATACAGTAGTACAATTGGTTTTGGTTCAATAACATACAGAGTATTGTAGTATCTTCATGAAATATAAAAAACATCTTGAAAGGCATTTCTCGTGCAGATGTGTTCAGCAACACAGATAACACAGGAGGTCTGCTGCAAGTGTTTTAGGAAGCTGTGTAAAAAGGAGAAGCAAAATAAATTGAAGGTAAAAGAGCCATTCTCTTCTCAAATTCTCTGAAACAAAATAAACACTCCCCAAATTAAATGAACACTATTAAAATAACTTGGTAACAGTCACAGACAGTTAAACCTACAGATCTTACAAAGTCCTATATGAGATTACAGTGAAATGTGACACTTCAGGTAGCTCTGACAGAATTTCTGTTCTCAGCCAGACCAGCCTTTTAGTTTTATTTAATACAGGTGACTGAAGTTTTGAAAGTACAGGATTTCTCATAGAACAAAATCAGTAATCACAGAGAGGAGAACAGAAAGGATGGAATATTGTAGTTACTTGCAGCAGTCTGCTGCCAGCGGGAAGCATCGTTTGACTCTGCACCATGGCAGGGGTTTCCTTTCCTCACCTCTGGAGGAAATAAAAACAATCCATTCTGTGTGAATGTAATGCTATTCAGTGACAAGGCTTCTTACTCCAGGAAATCCAGTCCTTGTTCTCCTGGATGCATTCTCTGTTCTTTCCTCTTTTCCTTCTCATACATCAGAGCATTATATTATCTGACAGGGAAAAAAGAAATTGCACTATGAAGCCTTTTCATAGCCATTATTTTTCTTGCCACTAAGTCATCACTAGAGAGAGGTTGTGCTGCAGACATTTGGATCGGTTTGTGAGGATTGCTTTTAGTTGAGGAATGACACCCAGTTTTACAAGGCAGTTATCCAATTCCTGTGTATGAAACTCTGCTGGACTCCTGCAAGCAAGGAACTCGACCCCCAGAAGGTTTTTCTCGTGCCTTTTGCCTCACCTGCTCCCACATCCCTGTTTTAAAGTACTTTATCACGGATTTTTATTTTGCAAACATTTAGAGGCTAGTGTAGCTTAGTTCACAGGAACGAAAATGGGCACAAAACCCGTGCCGGCGTTTATTAGAGGCTTTCGGTTTCCCCGGGGAGCGCTCGGCGGGTGCAGCAGGAAAGCTCAGCGCGGGATTCCGGGACGATTCCTTACCGGGGCAGCAGGAAAGCCCAGCGCGGGATTCCGAGGCGATTCCTTACCAGGGCAGCAGGAAAGCTCAGCGCGGGATTCCGGGATGATTCCTTACCGGGGCAGCAGGAAAGCTCAGCGCGGGATTCCGGGACGATTCCTTACCGGGGCAGCAGGAAAGCTCAGCGCGGGATTCCGGGACGATTCCTTACCGGGGCAGCAGGAAAGCCCAGCGCGGGATTCCGGGACTATTCCTTACTGGCGTAGGGCGCGCGCGGGACCCCGGCCCTGGGCCCCGCCCCCTGAGCAGGCCCCGCCCCCTCCGCTGTGCTGGGCGGGCTCGGGGGCGGGGCCTCGCGGCTCCGCCGCGTCCCCCCCCTCCCATTGGCGGCGGGGGCTGCGCGTGACCGGGCGGTGCGTGACGTAGGAGGAAGAAGCCGCCATTAGGGGCAGCGGGGCCGCGGCCGCTGGGCAGGTTCGGTTGCCGGGTTCCTCTCCAGCCTCTGTCTCTACGGCCTCGCCGGTGCCTCCCCATCCTCCTGGCCTCTCTTCCCCGTGGGCCCTCGTCCCGGTGGGCGGCGGCGCCGCCGCGGTGCGGCCCGTTGATGTGAGGCGCGGCTCGGCGGCGGGGCGCGGATGGCGGCGGGGGCCGGCGCGGCGGCCGGGGGCCGCAGCTTCTCCTTCAAGGTGGTGCTGCTCGGGGAGGGCTGCGTGGGGAAGACCTCGCTGGTGCTGCGCTACTGCGAGAACAAGTTCAACGATAAGCACATCACCACCCTGCAGGTGCGGGCCGGGCCGGGGGCCGTGGGGGTCCCGCTGTTGTGCCCTCACGTTGCGCACCCCTGGCACTGCTGGCTGTGTCGTGTCCGCAGCCTTAGCGGCTGCCGGAGCCGTCGTCGCCGCTCGCTAATGGTGGCTGTTTCCTGCCGAGTTTGCTGGAAGCCAGTTTTCTCTTTATTTTCACGCCTCAGATTTAAGCTTTCAGTATGCTTAGGCCTCGTGTCTACTCTGCATACTAACTGCTCCGTTTTTTCCAATTACGTATATGAATGTCTTCATTTGAATCTTGGAAAGTATGATGCAAAAGTACTGTTGTTATTGTAATCATTGTTAGGGGACTGATGACTAAGTGTTTCATACGTGCTGCGTTTCTGTTAATCATAGTCTTCCTCATGTTCTCAAATCCTAGCGTTAGCACTATCTAAGCGTTTCTGTTTAAGGAGAACAGCTTTCACAAAATGGTTTAGGAGATTAGGGCTTATGATTTAATAATGGGAAAGATTCTTAAAGCTGAACTGCTTGTCACGACAGCTCCCTGAATTTTGGCTGGATTCTCAGTAGTACTGTCTGTTGTTATAAAGAGCTACAAAGTGATGTTCCACACATGAAATGTGACAGGGTGCCTGCCTGAAAGTAATGGGTTTTTTCATGGCCTACTAGATAGTGATGGATGATGTGTATGCCGTGGTACAACATAAACTGCCTGTACTCTCCATGGTCTCAGAAAACACGTTTTGAAGTTCGTTTTGTGAGTGGTATGTTAAGTCTTTCAGGTTGTCATCTTGCATAGGCAGAAGTGTGGATTCAGTGTATTCCACTCTTAATATTTCTTTTTTCAAATAAAGAAAAAAAATCATGCCGCTTAGTGGGCCAGTAGTGGGTTTTGAACTAATTTCGAATTTCTTGAAGTACAGAAGAAATAGTAGGTGGTGTTAAAAAGAGAAGAGTTTTAAGGTATGTGCCATTCCCATGCATTTAGGGGAAGCTTCTTGAATTGTGTATCTCAGAAGTAATTAATAGTGAAACTTTTCCTTAAAATGAAAGCATTATAGATATACTAGAAGCAGTACAGGAAATGTTTATTAAACAGGTAGCACTCCATTTTTGCTGTGAAGAGGTAAAAAGAATATGTTTTAGACTTTGTTATCCTGTCTTCATACTCAGCTTTTGGGTTAAGCTATTGGTGGGTTTTCTAGGCAATGTATTTATAGGATGCTGGTTGTATCTGTCATGCCACAGAGGTAATTGCTGCTTGATATGCCACAGAGATGCCTGGTAGCTTGTAGGTGTCCGAGGTGCAGCAGAAGTGTAGCAGTGAGCAAACAATCATTGAAGTGCATCAAAATGGTCACATGTAGCTGAATTCTCATATCCCATGTTTTAAGAGTAGGTCCAAGGGGATCGTTATGTGGTGAGGCTTATGTTTGTTGTTTGGGTTTTTTTTTGTTCTTTAAATCTGTAATGGAAAACCTAAAATTATGAGCAAAAACTGAGTTGGAATACAGACTTGGGTCATAAATACCATGAAACACACTTCTAAATTGCTCCAAAATGCTGATAGGAAATGTCTGTAGTTAATGTGGCTCCAGAGCTTTTGGTTTTGACTGTTTGGAGAGGGGTGTGTTGAGGAGTGGAAGCATGTGCTTGCAATTCCTACTGAGCTTTCATTTCACCACCGTAACCAGGTTTGTGGTTTCTACCTGTGTCTTTTAACTGACTGCTAATTGCTTATCTAGTTTGCTTTTCTGTTCTGAGGCCTCTTTGGCCGTATATGCATCTTACTGATGCATATGTAAAATACAATGTCAATTGCTGTTGAATCATACTGTGCATCATGTGCTCTAAGTATTATCTTTAGTTTTATTTTCCTACATCTTACCATTCTAGAAAAAAAAATTGAAGTGAATTCTTCCACTATTAAATTAAAAGATAGTTTAAAAATTAGATGAGAAGAGAAACTAGGGTATCTGATTAAGCAATGAAGTAACATGTTTGCAAAGCACCCTTTGTTGTTTTTTTTTTTTAAAGATAAAAGGCTTAATCTGATAAGGTTGCTTTGTTTCATGGCAACAGTTCAAAGTAATGCACCAAATTCCTTTTGTTCCAATAAAGCCAAAATTAGATAAATACTTTGCTCCTGGTCCAGCAAAGGAGTGACAGTGATGAATCATATGAAGAGATCACTAGATATTGGGACAAGAGGCTCTCCATCCACAATACTCTCTAACTTAAAAAATAAAGCATTGCATAGTACTCTACTCCAGTATGTTTGCAACAAAGAGGGTGGTGAGACTGTAACCTTCTGGAAACTTCTTCTAGTGGTGGTATTCTACTGTGAAGTAATTCTTTTTATACTGAAATAGCTAAATTTCTTTGGTGCGAGTAACAGAAGACTTTGACTAAAAGGGAGCAGTTTCTCCTCCCTCCCCACTCCCCTCTCTCAGTCCCAACCGGAGTGCACTGGAACCTCTGATTTAGGGGGCTGCTGGGATGTGTTGCTGTAGTTTGTGTTAGTATCAAGTCATGTACTTAAGATGTTGATGACCTGCATGTTTAAGTGAAAGTAGCTACTGATTCACAGAAGAAAGCATCTAGTTAGAACGTTGTGGAAAAGCTGATGCAGGAGAAATCGGGGTTTTTGCACACAATTAATGTAATTCATAACCTGTAGGCAGACCTGGCAGGGCAGTTAGAATTGGTTCCCATTGTTTGAAATACTGAAGCAAGTGCCCTCATCTTCATACAATAATTATAAGATATAAATTGATATCAAGTGAACTGTGCTGGAATTACTCTAATAATAAACCTATTGTCAAACTATTGAGTTTTTTAAGTGGGTAGATACTTTTTATTATTTAATTATTCAGGATAAATACACTGTCTGAATACTGCTCTCACAAATGTGTGGAGGATTGCAGAATATCCAACCCAAGAGATCTGCTGATGTGGTTGTAATCGTAGAGTTCCTGATTGCTTTGATGGACTTGGCATAACCTGGAAAAGCTGTCTTAGTTATCAAGATAGCTGGGGGTGAGTGAAAGACAATGTAAGGAAGTTTAGTGCTTTATGCAGTGTTTGTATGCCTGACCTGCTTCTGTTGAACATGCAGCACTCAAGGGCAGATGCCACACACCTGCTTTTGTTCAGTGACTTTTGGGAGACTCTTCCAGCTGTGTCTTCCTTGTGTTCTGGTCAAGCCCCTTTATCAGCTCCTAGCAGGGCCTGGTGGGCATACAAAACCGAGCTCATAGAAGAAAGAATTAAAAGAAAGAAAATATTTCCTACAGCCACATCAAAAGATTGGAATTTTAGCTCTTATAATTGCATTATTCTTTTCTCAGCGCCTAAGTATTTTTCAAATCAGTCATAAGACAGTAGAGTCAAAATATGAAAATTAGAAGCTTCAAAGAGTTATTTGAAATTACTTATATTTGAATTAACCATGTTCCTGTGAGTTTTTGAAAGTCCTAGCAAAAATGAACTGTCATAGTAATTAAAGTGATATGGAGAATAGCTACTGACTGTAAATCAAGTCACAACTCAGACTTCTAGTACTCAGTTCAGTAATTTTTTTGGAGATTAGAGAAAATGTTGAAGATTTTTCTATGTGTGATTACCTAACGCTCTGTAAGTAGTCAAAGGCTTTGATTTTGAAGTCTGACAGACTTCAGAATCTTGGCAACTGGCTTTTACACTAAACTATCTCAAAACAGAAGTTGAGGCTCTTGCTTGTGTGTTAGGTTTTCCCAATTTTCTAAAAACTGAATAGCTTGCTATTCACTTGGTTGGTTGTTTTTTTTTCTCCCTCACTAACCTCAGAATAGCTTGGGAGGGGTATATGTGAGTTGAAAGGTGAGAAGATATTAGTTGATTTATCTTTGGCATGTTTGCCACTGTGGATGTAAAAATCTTTTATTGATGGTTACGGGTTGGTTAGCGGGTCAAATGCTGTCTGGAAGTTTTTCCAGACTTTTGACACTACAATTAGTCCCCTCACTGTAGACTGAGAGGGTAGTGTATTGTTAATGCTTTAGTTATGTAGAACACAAGGGTTGTAGTGATCAGTTCTTTGCTGTCTGTTCTTGGAAAGTGTTTTTCTTCTGGTCTGTTCTCTCTCTCTCTGTTCTTTTTATCAGACTTTGTGGGAAGGTTTGGGGGAAGGTACAACTTCAAGATGAAAAAGGTTTTTGTAATCATCTCATCTTGGGTCATACAGATGCCGGGGAAGTAGCTGAAGAGCAGGAGCTGCTCTAGCAACTGAATGTTGAATGACTTTAACTGCAACATAGGCAGCACTCCAGAAAGGCACTTTGACAGCAGTTTAGGCTGGTGTGCATCGAAGTGCTGTGGTCTCCTGTGTGCATTCGGGTTGCTTGTGTAGTTAAGCAGCAAGCTGGTTCAAGCAGCTTGTCTGGCCCATGACACTTTCCACACATGTGACTCTTGGTTCTGTGGCTGGTCAGTGCTTGTGCAGAGAACTCCTCTTGAGCTGCTGCAGTCCAGCCTAAAATAATCTGTGATGAATGTATCATAAAATACCACTGAGTACTTGTTTGAACCCAAATGCAAACTGAGGTAAAACTGAAATGAAAACTCCCTATAATTTAAGGCAGAAGAAAAAAGTTAGCCCTTGGTAACTGAATTGTTTGATATGACATGTGACTGCTAATCTTTAGAATGGGGAGAGCAGGTTCCTAATGCATCAACACCTTGAGACCCTGTTCTGGTCCATTAAACTTGTGTTAAATTATATTCCCTTTTTAGCTGTCAAATTACAGACCTGGTAACAGAGGTGGTGTCTGAAAACGTGAATCATGCAAGTTTGGAGGAAAACAGACCTACTCAAGTTACTGAAATTAGATTAACCTTGCAAGGTGCTCTGGTCCTCTAAAATATTTCCAGAAGTTAAAGTAGCAGAATTCTAAAGCAGCTTTTATGCTTATTCTGAGGCTTCTCAGCTCACACAAACAAAAATACAGAACCAAAAAACAGATGAGGGTGAGTTGTAGGCTCACTTCAGCAAAAAAGGGAAAAGTTACAGACAAGGAAACTTGTGAAATACTAATGTTCCAAGATATTTAGTGATAAAATAAAACAATTGTTTATGGTTCTAGTATCTTAGTAATAGTGAACTACTTTGCCTAATTCCTACAGATTAAAAATCCTGTTAGGCTTGTTCCTACCCGAACTTCGCATAGTCTTGTGAAATGCTTTGTGTTCAGCTTAGGCTTATCAGTGTTGTGAATTCAGTCTTTCTACACAGCTCGTCCTTCCCAAACCATTCAAAACAACTGCAAAAAGATGTAGTAAATTATTGGCTTAACTCAAATTTATTTAGAATAGATGGCTGGCAAACTATAGTGAAATTACTAACTGGTTTAGTATTGACTTAGCCTTCTTGCTTACAGAGTCTCAGTCTGGAAATTTGTCTTTTATTGATTCTGATGCTTTATTAATTAATTTCAAGTGGAATTATGTGTTTGGTGTGTAAAACTTACTCTAATTTGTTTTGCTTTCCAGGCATCTTTTCTTACGAAGAAACTAAATATTGGTGGAAAAAGAGTAAACCTTGCAATATGGGTATGTTTCTGGGGTTTTTTCTCCTTAGCTAATTAGAATGTTTTTCTTAAAAAAAAAAAAGTTACTTGGGCTTACTATATTCCAAGTACTAGGCACTTCTTAATAAAGTATTTGGAGTTCCTTCAAGTATTGCTTGCTTTGTCTTAAATGCTAACAAGTGTATTTTAAATGCAGGATACAGCTGGTCAAGAAAGATTTCATGCATTGGGGCCTATCTACTACAGGGACTCTAATGGCGCTATTCTAGTATATGATATAACAGATGAAGACTCTTTTCAAAAGGTACTGGCCAGCTTTTACATCTAAACTGTAAACTGGTTGAAAGATAATCTGTGATATGTGTAAACAGAAGTTTTCTGTTTTCAGCAATATAGCCTATATTTGCAAATGTAGATCATGTAAAGGAAGTAGACAGCTTATTAGTATTCTTTTGAAGACTGACTTCCCTGCTATCAGGTTATTCAAAGAACACCAAAGAATTCCCTCAGTTTCTTAGAGCGCAGTGCAAATAATGCCAAAGCTGTGTGTTTGATCCCTGTATGGACCTTTCATTTAAGAATTGCACTTCATGATCCTTGTGGGTCCCCTGCAACTCAGAATAATCTGTGATGTAGCTGTGCAAGTTACCTGTGACAGGCTGTAAGCATAAACCTGGACTGTTGTCATGGTATGCCATACTGATCTTGACTGTGTAAACCAAATTACTTGCTAAGTGACGTGACCTTTTACAGATCTGAGAACTCTGAAATTGCAGTACATGATAGTGGAGACATTTCCTTCTCTGTGATAAGTTATTTGTTGTCAAATCCTCATCAAAACATGTAATTTGATGGCTAGTTATTTTATGGCTCTGTTAGTTTATCAGTTTGATTGGTTTTTTCCACCCTGTGTCAACCTGTGCTACCACTCTGTAAGATTTTTCAGCTGAAAACTGGTGACACTTTTTAAAGCAAATTTGTCTCTGACTTTCAGCAGAACCAGTTGGACTTCTGTGTAGAGAGAAGTGAGAAAGTGTGGTTGCATAGGCAAGGTTATGGGTTAGCAGCAATACAAATAGTCTAAGGGTACAGATCCACAACAGTTTAACTAATTTAAATAGTGTGGTGTAGAGCAAGTAAAGCACTTGTGCTAGGAGTTAAACCCTTGTGGCCACCTGCAGAATGGTGATGACTTGTGGACACTACTTCAACTTGTTTCTTTTCATGCTGAGTCCTACACAGTAAAACCCTCTGATACCAAAACATTTAAATGTGCAGAAAAAAAGAGGGAAAGGTGATTTACAGAAGTTACTGCAGAAGTACTGCTGGATCATGTAGCCTTATTTTTAGGTTCTTGAAGTGATTGCCTCTCTTCACAATTATTCCCTCAAAATAGCAGTTCCTAAGTCAATGCAGTGATCATACAACTTTCAAACTTTTCATGACAACAGATTTGTTAACAGATACCCTACCATCAGCTGACTCGACATGCTTGTCCCATCTGTTCTCTCATGAAATAATCATCTGTTATAGTTATAATCTAACCTGAAAAGCTTGGTTCGGGTCTACCTCTAAAGTACTATTTGTGGTCTGTCAGTAAGTGCCTGTTGATGAAAGATCTCATGTCTGACCTGAAGTGGCCCATGCAGTGAACTTGCTATATTGAGTGTGGTGAGTTATGTTTCTGGAGCAATTGAACTGTTTCCTCTGAGTCATTTGCTCTCACCTGTGAAATAAAACCTGCTGAACAAGGGCCATGTGTAGCAATCTAAAGAATATTTTTTCATCTATGTTGCTCTAAACATTTTTGCTTTAAATTTAGAGAAGATGGTTAATGAAGGAAAGGGGATGGTTCCACACTGCCTAAGATAGATATCTAAGATGTATATCAAATGAAAACAAACTCATCTCTCTTCTTTTTGCAGGTAAAAAACTGGGTTAAGGAATTAAGAAAAATGTTGGGAAATGAAATCTGTTTATGTATAGTAGGTAAGTCTTTTTCAACATGACTGAATTGGAAACACCTCTTGATTAATAGCATCTTCAAATGCTGCTTTGACAACTTGTACATGTGAAGGGGTAAAGCTTATGTTAGATATTTAAAATTAAACTGGGGCTAGAAGTTTCACTAGATCACATTGAGGAAAATAAGCCTTTGATTGAAAAAATAAGCTGTTTAATTATATACTATTAGAAGTGCATGGTACAGACACCTGCAGACTGTAGTTTAACAAAAAAATTATATTATCCTTCTTTCAAGTACTCAAACTCACGGCTTTTCTCAGTGGCATAGACTAGGTGCTTGTCTGTTTTGATAATTAAGTGCTTGCAGGTTGGAGTGAATCTTAAAGATTGGAAATTTCAATGCAAATGGAATACAATAGAAGTGCTGGGTTTAGATTTAAATAAGATCTGATTATTAAAACACTTCCATGAGGTTAGATATGTGGACATTCTACAAAAATTACTTCTGCAGCAAATGGAAGGCGCTAATAAATCACAAAAAAGGGCAAAAGGCCGAATTGGGTGGAGGCATTTAGCTATCCTGATCTCTCTACCGAAGTAGCACCTTATAGCCTGTAAATGCTTGTGTGAAAGGAGATTCTCAAATCATAGTGTTCTTGAAATTGAGACCTGTGTAAGAGCTGGAATTTACTGGGACAGCTTCAGAAAATGGAGTACCATGATTACATGTCTGCTTTCTTTTTGGGTAATTTTACAGTACAAAGACTTAAAAGATTAACTTGTTTTCAACAGGTAACAAAATAGACTTGGAAAAAGAGAGACATGTTTCAGTGCAAGAAGCAGAAATGTAAGTCACACCTATTACTAATAGAAACAGTCATTGCAGAATTATGCTGGAGTAATAAACTCGTGATGCTGTTAACATAGCAGCCAGCTAGGCACTGCTGGCTTATGCCTGCCAGTTGTTGAGTGTTCTGTTAGTATCTGAGTCACAGGGTGTCCTGGCTGACCAAACTGTAGCTTGACAGTTGTTTGTGATTAAAGTCAACATTTACAGTTTAAATCCCTTTCTAGACATTAAATTTTCTTAATTTCATCTAGTGTGTGGCATCAGTCCTGGCAGTTTTAAACACATAACTCCGTTTTTTGTATGAAATAAGCATGTGTAGATGAACTCGGAAATCAGAATAAAACCTCTTGTGATCATCTTATTCCTTCCTGTAAAGTGGCTTAGAAAGATTGAGTCCTTTACTACAGTGCAGCTTCATATCTGCCTTTCTACAGGTATGCTGAATCTGTTGGAGCAAAACATTATCATACATCAGCTAAACAGAACAAAGGAATTGAAGAACTGTTTCTTGACCTTTGCAAAAGTAAGTATTATGTAATTTGTTGGTAAGGAGCTCATTCATAAAATGCTTCAGGGTTCAGAAATGCTTTCAGAAATGCTTTTCAAGCCATATAGAAAAGTTTGAAAGTAAAGTACTACTTAGAGGTGACTCAATTTCAGTCTACTTCAGGCCACCTGAGTTCTGTTACGGCTCTGGAAACTTGATGTATGGATGCTTACAATATTGCAAATTCATCCTCTACTCCAAAAATGTCTTGGTCTTTTGTTGGAGCACTGACTGCTGTTCCACTTAGCACGCATAAGTAGTAACCCAAATCAAATTTCATGTTACTGGTCTCACCACTGCTTGCTTCTAGTGTGTTTCATACCATTTCAAAAATCTTCTCAAATTACAAATCATGAAGTCAAAGCTCTAATGATGCAAATTTTACACAGAAATCTTAAATAGTAAAGATCATGGAATGTGAGATGAAAATCCAACACAAGCAAATCATCCTTGTAGTTGTATTTATGTGATAAGAGAATTTAAGGAAAAGGTCTCATGCATTTCTGAAGAGGTAGTAGCTTGGGGTTTTTGGGGGGGATTTTTTGAGAGGGCGGGGTTTCTTGTTTGTTTGGTTGGATTTTTTTAACAGTGTTACTGATACGGGTGTGTAAATCTAGCTTTTGAAGTTGCTAACGCTAGGACACCTGAGGATGACTACAGTCTCCCTTAGTTACCAGGAGCTCTTATATATTGGGTGCTTTAGAAAAAAGATTTAATATGTTCTTGCAGCTATGCCATGTGATACCTGAGTACTTAGTTCTGCATAACAAATAGGAGAACCACTCTTACTGAACTTTTCTCTCTGTGCATATAGTTCAGATAGATTAAAATAGCAGAGTCTTAATGTAAAAATACAATGGAATGTCATCTAATACACTTCTTTCTTTACAGGAATGATAGAAACTGCTCAAGTGGATGAAAGAGCAAGAGGCAATGGCTCCAGTCAGTCAGGAATAGCAAGGCGAGGTGTACAGATCATTGATGATGAGCCACAAGTACAGAGCAGTGGAGGGTGCTGTTCTTCTGGATAATTATAAAACTGTGCATCACTGCCCTCTCAATACGAAGACTGCCATATTCCAAGTCACACATTCTTTACCAATGGAGTAATAGAATTAACAGTATTTAAAAATAATCACATGTAACACTGCAGAGACCTTAAGTGCTAAACTAGTGGCGTCAGTGACCAGAGAATTGGCGTTTTCTACAGTGGTTAACAAAGCAATTACCAATGGCCTTTTTACATATTTTTCTTTAATAAGGAATAATATGCATGTAGAAAAGACCTACTTAAAGGCTTCATTTATATTCTTTTAAATCAGATCATTATTTAATAACTTATATACATTGTTGTTGGAATGGTATACGTTTTTGCAGCTCTTTGTACTTTGTGGTAGATGGAATTGTATCACTTCTAAAATGCAAATTGATTTTTTTTAAATTAGCAGATATCTGAATTAATATTTTTGCAGGGCCTCCACAAGCCTATAACTCAACTACTTTGATATATTCTGTTCATCTGTATGCCAAGCTGATAAAATACATTGTAAATTACATATTAAATACTTTATCTGCTTTTACAGTTGCAGGTGCAGAAATATGTACATCAGTCTTGTCTGTGATTGTGAAGTGAATAAGTCAGTGAAAGATGCAAGCTTTTCATGTGCACTGTTAAATTGCTCATTCTATTCCCCTACTTGAAAACAACTTAGTTTTGGGTACATCCATAGCTACAGCAATTCTTTAATCCATTTCTGGCAAGCAGCAGTATTTAGAGTATCCCCTTACTGGAAGAGAATGCTTCTGTAAACTGCTGTTTAACATAGAGATTTGTTTGACTTGCAGCTAAAACAGCTGGTGCATGCACATACCTTGCCTCTGCAGTTACTTTGTTATCTCAGAAGATCCCCAGAAAGTCAAAGCAACTTTAGCCCTCATCTCTCTGGGAGCCAGTAAACCAGATGCATGGGAAACTCTTTAGCTGCTCCAATACATTTGTTTCCAAAGACAGCATTATAAACTATTCATGAGCATATTTTTTTCCCTGTGGGGCTTGAGTGAACAATTAATTGGCATTAACTAGAATTTCTAATTTGGAGTGATTAAATTGAAGATGTGAAACTTGCCAGATGTAGCTGTAACTAAGGGGATTCGAGGCAGAATTGAATTTATGCCCAACTTGCTCTTTCTCCTGTAAAGTGTTTTGAAAAAGCCCATTTAAGTTTCAGGAGGAGGGTTTCAGAAAAAAATGTGTAAACTACTATCATAAAAGAACATAAATGGTGGTAGCTGAAACTTCAAAATGTTTTGTGCTCTGACTTTTTTTACTTAAGTTGTCATGCTTGGAAAAACAGTAAAGGTGATGTCTATGACAAAGTAGAATATCCTTGGCCTTCCTTTTTCTGAAAGGTAGATTTAGTATTGCATATGAATGCACTGAATGGTGTGGGTATGTTCTGATAAACAAAAAAGTAGTACTAATGAATTAGTCTGTATAAGAAGTGTGCTGTCTTCAATCTGATTTTTATTTTCTCTGAAATAATAGAAGGCTTTGATACCGACTGATCCTGGTGCATTTTCTCCTTTTCTGCCTTAACTGTGGTGTAGATACTTTTTCTTAGACTACCATTACTGTACTGTTCTGATGTGTTTGTGTGCATGATGGAGAAAGGTGTCTGTTCGTGCTAGTGAAGATAAAGTTTCTTGGCTGTGCAGAGCTTTGGTGTGAACCTAAAATCTGATTTTGTGTCAACATGTAGCAACACTGTTACCTTTCACATATCTAAAAACAGTGAGCTCTGACAAAGTTGAAAATCAGATCGGTTTGATCTAACACTGGTATCTGACAATCAGCCTTGTAAGTGATACAATATATGAAGAGTGAAATTGTCGAGTCTTGATGTTCAAGAATGGAATTGCCTCAGAACAGGAGTTTCAGGTTTTTTGATTCAAATTTAATTTTTTCCATCTCTGCAAATAAAACCCCAAACAGCCCAACTTCAACTAGACTTAGTTGAAGCAGTGTGTAGAATGTATCTTTCTGCCTGCAGGTAAAGAGTTCTTAGTGTATTGTGTGGTAGGGGCATCCCATGTGACTTCTGTCAATTACAAAACTAATGAAGGCATGTTGATGCTAGCTCTTAAGTCTCTTACAGAATTAAAACTATTACTACTGAAAACTTAGGTGGGGATAAAGAAGTCTACAATTTTGTAATACTAAAAGGGTTCTGCTTGCTATTAGTGAAATATTTTTAAAATAAATTCTCACATTACTTTTCTTACTTAAGCTACAATATAAAAAATATTCACTGGAAACCTTCCTGTCTAAGCTGTGGTTTGGTTCGACTTGATTTATGGAACTTAAAACCTGTGTTTGCAGGGTATCATTATATAACTGGATGGAAGTATAGCTTTGTGAAGTCAGGGAACCTGGTTGAAGACCAGACAGAAGTGAAAACATGAATTGTTTCGACTGGTTTACATTGGTTTTCAGCTTTTCATTGTTAGCAGACAAAATATAGCAGTTCCAGGAAAAAGCATCTTTGTCAAAGATAGCAAGAATGTTCTTTGCTCTTGGTATACAGAAAAGCACAAATAGCCTGGTTTTCTATATTTGAGCAGGATCTTACTCAAGTAACCTGGCATTTTTAATATGTGACTTGCTTTTCAAGAGTCTTGAATCTTGCATTTGATCTAGATTGCCTGGTTTGTGCGTCTGAAGGAGAACTGTTTTCTTATTGCTGATTTCTGTGGCTGTAAACAAGTAAGCTATTTTTCATTCTTGTGAGAAGTGAAAGAGAACAAGGGTGGCTGTCTTTAGGAAGTACCTCTGTTGTGGGGCAGATAGCCAGACACCCACTACAGCATGTGTAAATCAACACTGAGCACACTTCCTCAGGGTGTATCTTGACAGAGATTACTCACATACATACTAAAATAAAATGGTATAACTTTGTACAATACCTTTCTAAAACAACTTTTAAGTGCTTGCTCACAGTCTTGATGCTGCTACTATGAATACATGAGCTGCCTATGAAACTTTATCACTTGCAGAAATAAAATCCAACAAGCCAAAGTCCAACAGCTTTAATGCAGCAGTATGTCTCTCTGCTGGATGTTATTTCTGGACATTGTATACTGCACTTAGACTTTACTTTAGAAGCTATAAAAGATGGGATAGACTGATTCAGACAAGGACATGAAAATTCATGTGTTGTATTTGAAGATGACTGTAACTAGCTGCAAAGACTGGGAGAGATGGCTTCATCTGGTTAGCAGTGATCTTGCACATGATTCCAAAATAGGGGTATCCAATGGCCAGATTAACTGTATGGGATGGTCTTTTGAAGCAGTCAGGTAATTGAGTGTTACCTTGATTATATTACATGCTTTTCTTCAGTGTTCACATATTTCGTGGACAGGCATTTTTGCATTCTGCCACATAGAAAACCACCTACAGTTCTTAAAGAATTTAGTGATTAAATTTCTACTTTAGTTTCCAAACCAGATAAAAAAAGCTTTGCAAAAAGGTATGAATTATGGAAAATGGTTATATCTCAAATGGAGTTCTCCAGAATTGTTGGATACTGTCAGGATGAAAAACATAAAAATGCAGGTCAGGAATCTCCATAAGCTGAAAGCAATTAGGTGATACAAATAGTAGAGTATGGGAATAAGAGTTGGAGCCAGCCCCAATCCATTTTTCTGCTCTTAGTGGAATGAAAAGGAGAAGTAGGAAAAAAAAGGTATGTCGGAAAAACTGAGGTTGCTGGTGGTAGGCTGCTGAGTAAGATGCCGAGTTAACCTTTTCTTTGAGTTGCTAGAGAGCCTCAGCAATGGCAGTTTAGGACTTCTAATATCACTTCTTGGGTTGTTCTTACTTCTGTGAAATACTGTTTTTTGTTCATTAAAGAGAATGCAACTAACTTTGAGCAGGCTTTCAGGTACAATCCTAACCTGCTTAAAACTTTTCTTATTAGAATATGCTAATTTACTAACTATTTATATTTCACTGACTTTGCTAATCTTAGTCTGCATCAGATCCTAGGAGCTTTTCTTGAGAAGCTGGGAAGTACACCATGCTATGAGGACAATTTTTACTACAGTTCTGTCAAGGAGTTGCAGATGATGACCAAGATCCTTAGTACTACTTGCTGTGCAAGCTCAACAAGGTCCCCAAACTAGCTCACTAGCTCTTAATAGTGCTGGGCTCTTGCTTCTGCTATTCTTTGGAGGATGCTGCTCAACACCAGGATTTTCCTTCCATACAGTCAAGCCTGTACATCTCAGTGCTGTAGCTGTCTAATAAATTTAGGCTTTTTCTATCAAATAACAATGTGTACTCTTTGCTCCTGCATTTTTTTGGAGCTGTCATTGGCCCCTGTATTGAGCAGAAGAAGATGGAGATGATTTTGAGAGTTGTGGAGAGTACGGAATGTTTCTTGTCTTGAGAGGGCTTGAAAAGTGAGAGTCCATGAAAAATCCAACATTACAGCAAAGTATTATTCTGCCCAAGATAAAAGAAAATAGCTTGGCTCAGATATTTTTTTTTTGTAATATGATCAAAATGATAAACTGCTCTACTTCTAAAATGAAAGCTTATTTCAAGCTGATCTCTCTAGTCTTAATTTTTTTTTAAAACTTTGGTTTACTTAACTTGGCCAAAGCCTGAAATTGATTGCCATGTTATATAGCCATAAACTAAACTTTGATTGTTGGAAGGAACAGCATACTTGTTCATATTCTACTGGCCAGTTTAGATCTTAGATGGTGTTTATTCAATACCACGATGTTAAAAGATAGATAGATTAAAACAACTATTTTTTCAGTCTATTTCCACTGCTTTGTGCATTCAGGCAAGTAACATGGATGTGATGCAGCTGCAGGGTCACTGTGAAAAGAGGGCTTCTCTTTCTTTTCCTTCTTGGCTGTATTGATCTGTGTTACTAAATTACTCCTACAGGAAACGGTGCTGTGCAAGAAAGGAAGTGCACATTCTCTCCTTGCTTCTCTAGCTCCTGTAGACAGTGTAGGCACTACAGCAGTAATAGCCATTTCCTCTCAGTTTGATAACCGTTTTTTTCCTCAAGAGGAGCTGTTCTTACATCTTGACAAATAATTCTTTTTGTGTATCTAGTCTCACCGATCCCTTCAAAGGATTTTCAATCTTTATTGTAGGTTACCCAAAAGATGTTTAATTTGAAAGCATGACAAGGAAGGATAATGAGTAGCAGTTTTACGGCAGTCTTCCCTAACAATTGGCCATATCCCATCTCTAAAACAGTGAAGAGAGAATATTGAATGTTTAATGGTGAGTCCTTTCTAGCTCTGTATCTGATTCCTGATTCTTGGATATTGGAAGTGACTTACAAGAAATCTCAGTTGAGAGGATTTGAGAGAGCAAGGACTACTTCCGCATCAGATGCAAATAGTTGATATCCTGTGACATATCATGTTTTTTTTAACTATTGAAACTGTTAAATTGCAGGCCCTTCTTCAAGTTAACCATCACGCCATTCTGAAAAGTCAACAAATTTGGGACTTGCAGTGGAAGAGAACAAGTAGTTTCTTTTTCAGAACAGGAAACTTTCAACTGACTAATCAGGCTTGTTTTAGTAAAAAGAGAAGAGAAAAACCATGTGATACCTAAATCTTTAAGTGCTGTCAGTGCTATTTGATCATACAGGCATTATGATAGTCTTACTGGATTTTTCTGATCAGATCAGCTCATTAAGCTTATCAGTCATACTCAAATAGAAAGAAAACACTAGCAGGGCAAATCCAATGCTGAAAAGGATGCAGCATTTTAAAAGTCGAGTAACTTAACATTGTCAATTTTTGTAGGAATCTATTTGGCATTTGTGGATAAAAGAAATTTTGTAAAAACATACTAAAAAATATCTTGCAGAGGCTTCACAAATGTTAACTTTCCCAGTGCATTTCTGCAGCTGGAGTTCTTAAAATACGTCTTGATATATTTTATATACCAGTGCATTTACAGGAAGATAGTCTTGTGATAAATTAATGCCAGATGGTCAATCAACTATAAAAACAAGGATTCTTTTGTCATGACTGTTGGTTTATCAGTCCCTCATATTAAAAGTGAAAATGCATGGAAATGGATCAATAGGGGGAAAAAAGTGTACTGAAAATCAATACAGAAAGAAAATATTGTCACTTTTTACATTTACAGAATGTTACAGAATTTGAAACTTGATGACAGTCTATAATAAAGTTGCTCTGAAAGTTATTGGAAACTGGGGGCAGTGACTGAGACCACAGGTTTTTTTTATGTTACACATATAATATTTCTGAACGCACCTGAGCACGTTGTGTCAAAAGATGGCTTTAAGATGTTAAACCAGGCTCACTGAGGTTACTGTAAATTATCCTAGCATATACCCCCGAGATTGTAGCATGAGCAATCCCAGTAAAATAAAGCTTTGACTCTCAACACTGGTCTTTGGCATCTCAGAACAGAGGAAGGAGTGGTTGCTGTTGAACCACATTTATGTTTAATAGTAGCCTCAGGGATGCTGCCTCTATGCAGCAAAACAAAGTCTAACATGGAACCATGTGTGGCTAGGGTGGGGATTTTCCACCTAATATGTGTCTGTAACATGTTGCTGTCCTGTCTCCACCGCGAGTGCTTGTTCCTGCTTCCCTAGTGAAAACTGCTGGCTGGCTGATGCTGTGGATTTGAACTGGGTGGATATCGTGAGTGAGAACAGCAAGCAACAGGAAAAGCACAGCAAGATGACAGCAATTTGCATGTTTCTGCTTTGGGTGTTCTTAGCCCTTTCACTTGCAGTTCTGAGAAGTCAGCAACTCTATCCTACTACCTTGTCACAGAATCACTGAATGGGTCAGGTTGGAAGGGACCACAGTGGGTCATCTGGTCCAGCCTTCCTGCGCAAGCAGATCATCCTAGAGTACATTACATGGAATTGTCCAGGCAGTTCTTCAGTATCTCCAGTAAGGGAGACTCCACAACCTCTCTTGAAAAAGGTGTATTTTCTAGTAAGTGAGATTTTTGTTGTTCCAGAAACTAAAATCCAGAGCTTTTAAGAGTAAATGTAGTTTCTTCGCAATTAGTCTTTCAAAGCCTGTCAGCATGTCACTGAAGGGGCTATATTAAGTGGTGAAGAGCAATCCTGCGCAAGCAGATCATCCTAGAGTACATTACATGGAATTGTCCAGGCAGTTCTTCAGTATCTCCAGTAAGGGAGACTCCACAACCTCTCTTGAAAAAGGTGTATTTTCTAGTAAGTGAGATTTTTGTTGTTGTTCAAGAAACTAAAATCCAGAGCTTTTTAGAGTAAATGTAGTTTCTTCACAATTAGTCTTTCAAAGTCTGTCAGCATGTCACTGAAGGGGCTATATTAAGTGGTGAAGAGCAAGTGTACTATGTACATCTATTGTTTTTCAGAAACTTAGGGATTTCAGCTTGTATGGGAAATCTGTCTATCTCTGAAGATGATTATGGTGGCAAATTAAGATCAAGAAGTAAAGATTGACTGCCCTCACGATAAAACAATTGTTCTGTTACTTTTCTGCTCTTTCCAGGAAGTGTTGTTTGTTGCTATTATGATGTATATGTAGAAGTGATAGGGTTACAACTGTTTGTCTCCCGTGCTGCATTCCTAGCTCTGGCAATACTGGTGTGCCAATCGGCAAACAACAGATCAGTTTCTGTTTAGTCATCGCTGTCGGATGGCTTCCAGCTACTCTCTGTGGAGGCTGATGCAATCATGAATTTCTCTTTGAGTGACAAATGCAGAGCATTCATGTTAGTATCTGCTCTGCTTCTTTTGTATTTAAAACCCCACAATTTTATGCCCCACTGAGAGAAGAAAGCTATTGTAAAGTGATGGTCAGTTACACCAACCATAATGTTTTCTTATGTGACAACTCCTGTATGTTTTGGGTTGATTCATATTCTGGAATTGTATTGATACACAGGAAAAAAAAAATCAAGTTCACAAATATGAACTCAGTGCTGTGCTTAAGGATATACAAAATGTGACACTGAAAATGCTTCAAGAAATCTTGTCATCAGCATACATGCCTTCATGTCTTACATCTCCATGCCTTCACAGTGTAAATACAAATAAATGCCGCTGGGGTATGGCATTTCCTTCCTTTTAATTTTGGTCTATGTATACTTAGTTTGTCCCCATTCTTGTCTAACCTTCTTGCAGAAGGTAGCTAAGCATGGAACAGTACTCTATCTGCATGTTCTACTTGTTCAGGTTAGTGGGTTTTTTTATGTTTTCTTTGAGAAACAGGGTAGAAAGTCTATCCTATCTTCATCTCTCAGTTTCTGCTTTGAGGTAGAAACAATTGGTAAGTAGAGAAGATCCTAAGTGGTCCCAGAGGCTACATTTCTGGCAAATAAATTAGGCCAGAGTGCATAAGGAGCTCTGGCCTTGAGAGCAGATGGCACAATGCAGCTTTAATCTAGGTGCTTTAGTCCTCTTGTGCCCTTTAAATCATACTTACATGCTGCCTGCTTGCAGTGGCTGTGCTGTCCCCAACCCCATCTATGGGGTATTAGTCTGAGAAACCTAAGTGGTATGGTCCATAATTACATAAAAGAGCAAACTAATAATAAAATGCAAAGGCTGACTGTACCCCAGGGGCTTTCTTGGTTGACCTGTATGGATGTAGGCAGGGACTGATCTCCCTCCTGCTCTCCTAACTGAGGAGTAGAATGGGAGGAATTTTTAAAAACCTTTTCCTCTTGCATGGGGAAAATAAGAGCATTTCACATCTAAATCCTTGGATATTGCCTTTACTGTCAACAATACAGCTAATGCTGAGGAAGGGTACCTCTTAAAAGATGAGGAACTTGAAAAGCCTAGTCTGCAGTTATCTCCTGGGTGACTTGCTGCACCCAGAGTCCAGGACAGCATCCCATTTACTATCTCATTGTGGTCTGTGATAAACTGGAGTAGCCTAGAAAAATTGTGGGTTGCATCTGTCCATGCAAGGCTTGGAATACATCCATTTCCTATGAGGAGAAATAAAGATCAAAGGGAAAGATATTTTTGGTACTGTTTTTCTTTGTTCCTCTGCTGTGGGGTTGTTTGTACAAATTAAGCCTGTGATGGAAGGACTTGACAGAATCTGCACTTGTCTTGTGTGGGCCAGGTTTTCATGTGGTTCAGCATGTGGGCAGCTGACACTTCTGAATACAGGAAAGTATCTTGGAACTCTGCTGAAATAGCTGTGTGAACAACAACAATAGCAGCTGCTGCAGCTTTTGGCACAGCAGTAATAGCTATGCTTGCAGCTGTGACAGCAACAGAAGCCACGGGAAAGCCAGGAACACTCTGGCTGCAGGCTCAGTGCTGGCTGGTGTGCTGTGACCACCCTTTATGTGACAGAACTGTTAGAGCAGATAGTTAATTAAAATCTAACAAAGAGTGAGCCCCTAGGCTAAAGATATTCCCATCTGTGTAGTGTGTGAAAGGTTGGACTTCAGCATAGAGCTACAGTCTGTCCCATTGTTTTCTTAAGGGGCTTATGGAGAAGGGAGAGGGACCTGGTAGCACCATGCCAGCCTATGGAACTTGCTGTTGTGCATCATTCAGGTCTGTAAAGTGCAAAAATGTAACGCACCAATAATGTAGGCTGGGAAGCAGCTTTGCACAAAGGTATCCAAATGTCAAAACAGTGCACAACAAATCAGTAATGAGCCAGAAAATAAAGCCATCCTGGGCTCCATCAGGAAGAGCACTGCCAGCAAGCTGAGGGGTGATGGTATTTTCTCAGCCCTCATGAGATAGTCCTGTAATGCTGGGTCTAGTGCTGGACTCCCTGGTAGAATGGAGACGCTGACATCCTGGAGTGAGACCTGTGAAGGGCAATCAAAGGCAATTAGGAGACTGGACCATCTGTCATACAAAGAGATGCTGACAGATGTGAAACTGTTCAGTCTCTCGAAAGCTCAGAAGATCTTTTCAATGTCTAAAAATAGATTATGAGAGGAAGTAAAGAGGCAGAGCTGGTCTCTTTAGTGGTATTCAATGACAAAATGGACCCAAACTGAAATACAAGAAATTCCATTTAAGCATAAGAAAAACCTTTGGCATTCCAAAAGCAACCAAACACTGATGAAACAGCTTGACTGAGGAGGTTGAGGTGTGTATATTCTTGAAGATTCTCAAACCTCAAACTTTATAGAGCCCTGAGCAATCATTTGTGGTCTGCTCTGGGCAGGAGGGTTGGATTAGATCCTCTCTAAAGACTCCTGCCAACTTCAACCTTTTAGCAGTCCTTTGATAGAGTGGCCTGATAACAAAGAGTAATTTTGCTCCTCATCTATATGTGATGATATACACATTGTTCTGCAATGATAATTTGCTGAAGAACAAGGGAGAAGGCCCAAGATGGATGTCTAGAAGACTGGTAAGCAGCCGGAAGATGGTCATACATGTATCTCATGGGGTAAGTTGGTCTGTGGGACTGAGAGTGCTCTGAAACACGCCGGCCTTCTTGACACTGAGGTAAGTGGTGACTGGCATGCTGAGAGCAGCACAAATGGCATCTATCTGTTAATTTTTTTACTCAGTCGACAGTTCCACGAAGGTCAGCTTGAGTAAAAAGCCTTTCACACAACTTGTGTGCAAATCTTACAAATAACAGGCAAAGTCCAGCACTGAGCTGCCTTGATAGAAGCAGGACCTTTAGGCAGCAGTGAGAGTGGATGGTAATTGGCCTCAAAATGAATACTGGCATTTTATCGTGGGCCCTGCAGAAGGATGAGAGTGTGTAGATGAGCAGGAGGAATTAAGCTAAGAGGGGACCACGGCACCGTTTCGGGAACAGAACAGTGCAGCCATCCCTCGCTCCCCGCCCCGGGCCGGCCCCGCGCAGTGCGCATGCGCGGCTCGCAGCAGTGACGCTGTTGTTGTGGCGCGGCGGGGAAGCACGTGAGGAGTGCTACGTCACCATAAACACTCGTGGGCAACATGGCGGCGCCGCCGAGCGGCAAGGTAACGGGGGCGGGCGGCGGCGGGGGGGCCGGCCGGGCCGGCCTCTCTCACCTCTCCCACCTCTCCCGCTTTTCCCCCGCGGGACGCGCCGTGTCCGGCGCTGGGTCGCCCCAGCTGGCGGGAGTCGCGGGGAGGGGGAGCTGCCGAATGGCCGAGCGGGTGCCTTTTTCTCCGCCGCGCGGGTGGCGCCTCACGGGGCCGCCTCTCCGGGTACGTGCCGTCCTGGCCTCGGGCGGGCCGGGCCGGGCGCTGGCAGCGGCCGCGGGCCCTCTGCGCCGGAGGCGGTCGCGGCCTCGGGCGGGACTCGGGCCCTTCCCGCAGCTGGCGGCCGGGCAGCGCCCCGCGCCTCCGCGGCAGCTGGGCTCCGGCCCCGGGGTGCAGGAGGCCGCTCTCCGGCGGGGGCGGGCACCCCGCGCCGCTCTCGGCCTGGGGCACGGGAACGCGGCTTGTGCCGTCTGCGTGTGCGGGTGTCCCGGAGGTGCTCATGGACGGTAGTGGCCTTTCCCCCGGCCTGCCCGCTGGTAGTGTGTGGGAACCTGCCCCGGCGTGTGTACAAAGCCTTGTCAGCCCTATAGTTTAGCAATTTAAAATTTTTGTACGCCGCGGATTCTTGCCGAGCGTTCCGGAGCGAAACATTATTGCTTGACAAGCGATTGAGCTCGCAGGAGGGGGAGGTACAAGCAACACCCACTGTTTCCCTCCGCCCCCGCCGACAGATACGAATTGTGTTTGTATTGTTTCTTAGTAGAAATAGTTTTATTTCATGACTGTCTTCTGAAAGCGTTGCTTTGCAGTGCGGTGTTCTCGAGCACGTGGATCCTTTATTTAGGATTTAAAATCTCGGTGTGGTGTCTGATTCTATGTAGTAGCCGTGGTGAGTGTGTGATAGTCTGAGGTTTCACTTTTCCAGCATAGCACAGAAGATGATAGTTTCACTTCACGCTGATCTCGGCGTAAGGGAACACACGTAATTAGCCACGTCTGCGCTCCCCGAGGGTGCTGAGGAGTGCCCTTAGCTATAGCGTGAAAATTCCCTTGAGGTCTTGAAAGCAGATCCGTTTCAACCAGAATTGTTGGAGCAGGCAATTTGTGCGGCTCGAGTTTTGCAATTTTATTTTTATGTTCTTTACTGCTGTTAGGTGTGTAACTATAAAGATAGCCATACTGTCCTCCCAGCTGTTTCTAGCTATGCACATCCAGTTTTTATGTGTACAGAGAAATTCCTTTTTTGGCTTTATCCATTTTAATATCAATACAGAAGTTTATTGGATGAGGGAAATATTTTAATTTTTTAGATAAATACTTTACTATTTTAAATTTTCAGGTTTTTTTTTTGTTTTCCTCTTAGGCTTTTATCAGGATCTTCTTCAGGATGTCTCTCGTGAAAGCAGCTGTATTATGATGGTTTATATGAGATGCTAGAATGATTGTGGATTAGTTGTTTGTAAATTTGCTGTGTATTACTGTTCCTTTCCAAGAGCCATGTTTGCCTGAGATTAAATCCCTGAGACGTTGCAAAACTGTTTTAGTTATGCCACGTCCACAATACTAATGCAACTTGCTAATGCAACTTCTAATTCAGTAACATTCTTTGCCATGTCTCTTTTAACACAGAGGACAAATGACAGTTGTGTTTTCTCAAATTTCATGAAGTGGCTGGGCTGGTTTGACATTTCACTGCTCTCAGGAGCAGTTCCATCCTTCTCTGTATTTCCCCACCTGTGTGTTGCACTTTTACTTTCTTGGATACTGTACTCATTTGATCTCTCAGTGATTAGATCTAGCAAGCTGAAATAATACATACAACTGTGCTTACTTTTGTCTGGTTTAGTTTTCTGTTGGGAGGACATTGGACCACAGATTGTTCCTGCAGGATTTTGGGAGGACTTGCAAACTAGTGAAATTTCACTCCAGGTGGAATAAATGCAGTGTAGGTTGGTACAGACCCAGCATTCTCACTTCAGGCCTTTTGCACTTCAGTGTCTTTACAAGCTGTGGATGTCATAAGTTAACTGCAGTGTTCATTCTGGCTGGGCAATTTGTTGTAATGGTGTGTTTCAGGTGGTAGCTTTCTGAAAGAACAGTAGGCATTAGTTTGTGGGGTGCTTTATTCTCATGTGGCAGATCTTATCACATGAAAGTAATGTATTTTAATGTATATGCTTTTTTCTGCAAAATATTACACAAAGTGGTTCCCATGGGAAAGCATGTGGCAGTGTATCAAGCAGCTGGGGTAACCTGCATTGTTTCAGCTTTCACAAAAACTTGTTTCAGCAAACCATATAAGATTGTGGTTTCTATTGCATTTTTACCCTGTTTGCCTTTCTCTTCTCTATTGCAGGTTTTTGGGGGTTTGGGGGGGTTTGTTTGTTTTTTGTTTTGTTTATTTTGTCATTTTATTTCCCAGACATTATCAATATCAATAGATTCAGAATCCAACTATTTCATGTAGTCTCTGGTTTCTGCTCCAGACAATAATGGGGTATGAATTATAAATGTGGTTATCTCATGTACTACTTTACTTGGACTTTCGTCCTGTGATTTTTTTTTTCTTGCTGGCACCTCTCATGAGGTTCTTATCAGTGTTTTTATCTATATGGATAGTTAACTTAGGAAAAGTTACTGCAGTTGAATTCTGGAGTTGTGACTCCTTTTTAAATGACCATCTGCCCTAGAATTGTGTGAGCTTCAGTTTTTTGCCCTTTCTTAGAGTTGCCAGTTTTTTCTGGAAGTAACTTGGTAATAAGGTCATTTGTTTTCAGAGCTTGTGACTTTATGCAAACAGATATATTTATATATTATACTTTAAGAAAACAGGTACATTTTCTCTCTTTTTGTTGCTTAGCAAATAGTTTTTTTATTGTATTCAGAGAACCTACTCTGGATTCACCCTTATAACAGAAAACCATGTTAGAAAATGAGCCTAAAAGTTGTTTATGGGGAGAAGTACAAGCTTCAATTTCAGTCTGTCAGTATACAGGTGATTATTGCAGCTGATCTAAAGACAGTAATGATACTTCTTTAATGTTCTTGGAGTTCAGAGTATCTTCAGCACGTGGGCTGTTAGATCTTTCTCAAGTTACCAATTGACACATGGGCTGTCAGATAAGTTATTTTTCACTTGCTTGTGCTCTTGCTCTTGGAGTTAAAGTTTCAGAGTGTTAACTGGCCAAACATCTGAGCTTTATCTTTAAGCTCAGATGTCTGGCCAGTTCAGCAACTAAAAGTGTTCAAGGAGCACTGTAGCTATTACTAAATAGTAGTGGTGTTAGTGCTGTATGGTTGGGGTGGGGATTTGTGCTTGCAGTGGAAGTTTTTGTTTTTTTCTTTTTTTTTTTTAATTTGGTATGTTAAAATTAGCTTTGCACCCTTCAGGTATTTTGTTGGTGTAGATACAGTGAATTATTTTAGGTGTATATCTGTTCTGTGGGATAGGCAGTGTCTTGCTCCACCTTCTGCTAGTTAAATGTGAGTGCACAGAGGCTCCTGTACTATGCATTGTTGTGCCATTTTATTAAGCATTTGATTTAAAGTATTTGTTATATATTTTTCAGCCTTTATAATTTACTGTGAATACAATAATAATTCTTTTTGATTAAACTGTACTTCATTTGTGAACAGAAGACTATCTCTCTTGAATTTACTTAAGGCTTTATTATGCTTGAATGTAAAGCAGCTCAGTGGTATTTTTGAAATTTCTGTATTTTCTTTCTATTTTCTATTCATTAAGGATTTCTCTTTGCAGAAGTGCTTACAATAGGACCAGTGGGTTACTACTTGAAACTCTTGCTCTCAGTACCCTGAACAGACTTGTATTTTCACTGATACCTGGTTATTGTTGCATGAGTAGCAGAAATACCTTGTGGTTCAAGAAATCTTCAGAGCGCATGAGGCAGAGCTTGAAATATGTACTGTGGTAAAGTAGGAAACTTTTCCTGTGCAGCTCCTAGTGTGGAGAGCTTTCTCATGTTTGTCGCAACATGAAAAACATTTGCAGGATTCTGTCCCTCTCCACCCCTCCCCTACTTAGAAATTGGGTGTCTTTAAGATTAGCAGGTGTGAAATTTTACTTTCTTGGGAAAAAAGTTGAGCCACAGGCTCAGCAAACAAAAGGCATACAAGGTTCAACAAGGCCAAGTGCAAGGTCCGTAGGGCAATCCCAAGCACAAGTACAGGCTTGGTGGAGGATGGATTGAGATGAGTTCAGGGAAGAAAATCTTGAGGGTGTTTGTGGGTGAAAAGCTCAGTATGACTCCAATGTCCACCTGCAGCTCAGAAAGCTGACTGTGCTTTGGGCCACATCAAAAGCAGTGTGGCCAGCAGATCACTGGAGATGATTTTCCCCCTCTCCTGTGCCCTCATAGGACATCATGTGGAGTACTGTGTCCACCTCTGGAGTCCCCACCATAGGCATGGATCCAATGTAGCAAAGAGGGCTATGAAGATGGTCGGGGAGCTGGAGCACCTCTCCTATGAAGGAAGGCTGAGAATAGGGGTTTTTCAGACTGGAGAAGCGAAGGCTCCAGGGACACCCTGGAGTGCCTTCCAGTATGTAAAGGGGGCTTACAAGAGAGCTGGAGAGGGATTTCTTCCAGAGGAATGTAGTGATGGGATCGGGAGCAATAGCCATCAGCTGAAGGGGGAGCATAGGTTTAGACTGGATATTAGGAAGAAGTTCTTTGCTCTGAGTGTGGTGAGACACTGAAACAGATTGCCCAGAGAGATTTTCTGCTCCCTATCCCTGGAGGTGTTCAAGACCAGGCTGGATAGGGCTGTGAGTAATCTGGTCTAGTGGAATGTTGCTTGCCCATTGCAGGGGGCTTGCAGCTAGATGATCTTTAAGGTCCCTTCCAACCCAAACCATTCTGTGATCTGTATTTTAATTCAAATGCCAGATATTGTAGTATATCTTCTCTGGAGCAGAAGATAATTTTGATCAAGTTAATGTTGGCTTGATGCTTTGTGGAGCACTCAAATGTATTGGCACCTAGTCATTGGAAACAGACTCTTGATGCAGTAGGTACTTCACTGTGCCCAGTGACACTTCAGCAGTGGATGTGTGAGTAAGCTTTGGGCAAACATCAGCTATTCCAAAGAGGAAGATGGAAATTCAAGCAGTATAATGTAGAATTTTATATTGAGTTATATTTCTTTTTACTTAATGCATAGTTCTAAACTAAGATGCTTTCTTTCGTGGGTGTAAGGTCACT